TTTGTGTATTGTGGAATTATTGCTTACCTTCAAAGTTACAAAACTTTGAAGGTAAGCAATAATTCCACAATACACAAAACAACCCACTATACCGCACTGCACTGCATTACTCTACACAATATTATTACATCCCCAAATAATAACATATTGTTGTTAGGATTGTTTAGTTTTGCAATGTTAATGCAAAGAAAGCACATTTAACTGAATTATATTTTATTAGAAAAACAATAAAAACATATTCTACAATAAACTATAATAATATATATTATATGTATATATATATATAGAAAAACACTAACAAAATAAAAAAATATTCCTCTTATAAAATAAAAATACCTCCACTTTTGAAAACCAGCAATAATTGCAATTAGTTTTCAAATTTCATATCTTTGAAAAAAAAATTAAATTATTTTTCTATTTTAAGGATAAAACAGTACACAAAAATATAATTCTCCTGTAGAATAAAACACTATTTTATTAGAATATACCTAATATAAAAAACAGTATAACAAAATAAACAAGTATACTCGAGTAATAGATCTATTTCTCTTATAAATTAAAAAATGAAATGAATGAAGTCAATTAATAATTCATCTAGTATAAAATTTTTATTTTATTTCTGCAGTTTAACTGCAACATTTATTTATAATAAACATTTATTTATAATAAACTTACTTAAATAACACTAGGGTTCAGCTGAAGTACGAACCTGTGATTTCATCTTATCATATGTATGCTGGAAGGCATACATAATGTGCTTTTCAACTTCATGACGATGCATCCTTTGTAATATTTCTTTCCCCCGAGACAACCCAAGACAATTGTGTTTGCCATCAATATGTCTTTTAGTCTAAAGTTTTCGTTCGTCCCTATAGGATATATCCAGTTGTGTGGAGTGTGTCCAGAGTGTCGACTGTAAAACAGTCTATGTTATGTTGGTTACCAATTTTTTAATTTCAATTGACCTGCAAAATGATCATAAGAAATAAGCAGTTTTCTCCATGGCTTTGTTAAAATTTATTTCACGTACAAAAAAATGTATTTTTTCCTCTTTCAGTAGAAATTCAACAAAATACTTAAGCTATAATAATAAATTTGTTAAGGATATATTAACACACTAAAAATGTTGTGGTTACTTATATTTTGTTGCTACAGCAAAACATTTCTTAGATTAGAGTGTGGAGTTGTTTAGCATTGCAGACAATTGTCTTAAGCTACTGAAATATAGAAAAACAAAAGTACTTACGGTTTTAAACTATCCTTTTGTTTACCATTAAAAACTTTGCAGAAATATAGAAAAACCTACAGAAAACCTACAGAAACCTTGGGTCGTTACCAAACATTCAAAATGGAGATCCTACTTTATCTCTGATGATGATGGAGATGCACAGAACATATGACTATTGGCGACTGCGCATTGGTGTCACGACTTTACGTGATGTTTTCGTGACGATTTGTATAAATATTTTGTAACGTTTTTGTAACGAGCTGCACGTCAAGAATTTTATACCAAAATTTAAAGTAAAATTATCACTATTTCGTGTGACTAACGACTTTATGAAAAAATTCGTCACGTATTTTCATAGACCCCTCGTCACGAATTTGGCGTCACGCAATTTATTTACTTTTTATTAAAATTTCCTTAATCGTAACGAAATATTGTCTCGTTTTCGTCACTTCTAATTTTTAATGTCACGTTGTGCTACCTGGGAGATTCTATAACTCAGAGCCAAAGTACGTTAAGTCCAAAATTTTAAATATGACCAATCAAAATTTAAACCAGTTTTTAATATATTAATAATTCATATTTTAAAACTAATTTATATATAAATTAGTTTAAAAATATTATATAATTCTCTTAAAATAAACTTTTTAATTTATACTTGTACAATATTATAGGATTCAAAAAAAGGTATTTAATATATTGAAAACTTGTTTAAATTTTGATTGATTATATTTAAAATTTTGGACTTTCATCTAGAGATATAATAACTGCATTACCTACAAAAAAGTCCATCAGTCTTAAAAAACTCTATAACTTACAAAAAAAGAGTATTAAAAGCAAATTTAATAATAAAAAGTTACTTTTACAAAAATAAATTAATAATAAAATATAGGTACCTAATTGTTTAGTATTTAAAAAAAAAAAATTTTAATATAGGTAATGATTTATTATTTCCTTACAAAAATAAGAATATGCATATCATTTAACTTTTATGTTATCCTTTAACTTGAAGATATTAAAAAATGCAGTACAAAATTTTTGACATATTTTGGTTTATGTTCTTAGGATAGTGGCACATAATATACATAATATGGATACATATTATGTAGCCTACTTAAGTAGGGTTTATGTCTGCCAGTTGGTGTACAATGGATTCCTTATTCAAACTTGGGGGTTGTGTTGCATTTATATAATTAAGGTTTATGTTCTTAGGGTAGTGTTATACCTATACATTTCATATTCCAACTTTAATTGCATTCAGTTTATATTCTCAGGTTGGTGTCCCATGGCTTCCATATTCCAACTCCTTTTAAAAATTAAAAATTTAATTAACATAAAATTTAAAGCAAAAATATATTGGGCAATTTTTAGTAAAACAATAATATAACAGACATTAACACTGATGAAATTTAAATTTAAAAAATTCTACCTTTTTTGAAATTTTTTAAAATGTTCCACTGTTAAATTCTTTTTGGATGCATTTTTCTCATTTATGTATCTAAATGGATGTATTTAAATGTACACATTATTCAAAAAATTTTATGTGGCTATTAATAATTATGTTACAATATTATTGCAGTGACTATAATAATAATTAGTAAACTTTGGTTAAAAAATAAGGTAACAAACCTATAAGATTTAACATTTAAAATAAAACATAACAAATTGTTGTTATTAACAATTTAAACTGCTTCTAATATTTTTTCTTTCCAAATAATTTTGTTTGTAAAGTATTGATTATATTTTTTACTAATATATTTTAGAACACTGAGAAGTTTATAATATTGCTTTATTTGTATTGCCACAAGTTAATAACCGAATTATTCTTTTTTATGAACCAACTGGACTTCAGTAATAGAAAACCAAGGTTTGCTAAAAAGCTGACAATTAAACAAAATACTTACGTTTTAAACTGTACACAGTTAAATAGCCTTCTTAAGAAGTTCTTATAACTTATAAGTTATAAGTTATAAGCAAACAGGACCCAATGGCACACAAAACATGATGTCCGACTTTTTTTCACCATGGCCGAGTTTTGGAAGAATCAAGCAACAAAGCATACGTGCATGTGTGGTTGGTTGCATAATTTTGTACCAACTGGCAACTCATCGATTAGGAGTCATGTTTTCAGTTTTGCCAATTCTGTTTCACCCCTTGTCACATAGTATCCTTCGAAGGATACATAAAAGATCTTGTATGTTTCTCTCCTTTCTCTAACTCAGTGTCGGTGACAATTTCGCATCATGGATATTTTTATTTTTTAATTATCTTGACTACTTTCACCTTTCGGCATCCTCAGGAGGTACTGAAAACATACAATATTTAGTAAAACACATTTAAAATAGATATTAAGTGCATACTCATCAAATTATACATAAAAAGGTCATCTAAGATATTAATTCTATTATTTCAAAATTTAAAATGTTTAAAGGACTGGTTGGCGATGCTGACATGTATTAGTGCTACAAATCTATCCTAAATTGACCAACTGTTTCTACTTTCAACTTTGAATAGGTAAATGGAATTCTACAAAAAAAAAATTAATTTTATTATAAAAAATATTTTTAAACTTACATGTCAAAATCACTCCTTACAACCATAAAATAAAAATATATCACTTGTCAATGTTTTCAAGTATTCATATAAATTTTTAGTGTACAAATTACCATTTTAAAGTACAGTTGTATTCATTAAAAAAGCGTACAAGAATTAGAATGAGAGAAAACTGTCAACATTATTGCGTAAAACCGGCTTTCCACTGACTTAAGTCACTATAACTGACAGTAGAAAATAAAAATGCCTCGTCAGTTAAAAAGGCTCAAATAGTATCAAGAATCGAAGAAGAATGGTCAATTCGTACCGTGGTATAATAGAAATAAAAAACCTATATTAATAATTAATAATTTTTGTAATATTATTTAATTAACCTACGACCACAGAATATTCTTAATATTCTTAATAATTCTTTATTCTGTGCTACGACGTCAATGCTCTTTATAACCTATATTAATTATTTTAATGACTTATGTCAGTGATAAGCCGGTTTTAAGCAATAATATTATTTTGACAGATTTCTCTCATTCTAATTCTTGTACGCTTTTTTATTGAATACAACTGTACCTACCTAAGAATAAATAACTTTTTAAATTTTGTTGCTTAAACTACTATACTGTATATACATCTACAGGCATCCCAGATCGAACTTTGTTTGCATTTAAGAAAAATCGCTTTTTCCTAATGAAAAATGTGAACCAAACCTTACCAATTTGATGTTTAAAGTGCGACGATGCCACACATTTTCGATCTGGTGAGCTTCGAAGGTCATGTAAATTTTCGATCTGGCGAGATTCGATCTATTGAGTTTCGATGCAACGAGCTGTTCCCCTTATCGTAACTGACACTTTGATAAAATAAAAAGTAATTCAACAAAATTGTCGCTTACGATGTTTTGTCAAATAACCATCGATATATATATATATATATATATATATATATATATATATATATATATATCCTATTTAATAATTAATTATTGATTTTTCTGACGTTTCTAAAAACCAATAGAAAATAGGCCCTTGTGGCTATAACAACAATTTTTCGAAATATTCTTTGAATTATTTTTAATTTATTCTCAACATAGATAATAAATAAGTGATTCTCACTCTCAGGATATTAATGTTAAAAACATACCTCTTGCATGAAAATTTTATATTTTTCATTTCAAGTGTATCAGTAGTTCATCTGTCCTAACCTAAAAATTAACTGTCAGCCAAACGTCACTTTTGTTTTTGAGCAATTTTCCGTATTTGTAATCAAATCGTAAACAATTTATTTAAGTGTAAGGAATAATATAAGTGTAATGTGACTTGTTATCACGATAATCTTTTCTTTATTAGAGAAAAGTTGATTGTTAAAAATGGGTAATCAACTTGTGGGTATAGCCCCATCTCAAATTTACCCAGTTGAAAGGTACCTCAGTGGACATCCGGAACTTAAATTTGACCTTAGGTTAGTTATAAATACTATACAATACTTCTACATTTTTTTCTTACCTTGCTTTATTGTGCTTACTAGCTTGGGAAGTACAAGATTCCTAAAAGTAGCCAGGGCTGAATGTCAGGAGGGTCTTATAGTAGTCAAAGTCTTTGCCATTCATGATCCTTCACTGCCTTTAGCAACATACAAAGACCATTTAGAAGACATAAGACAAAAGCTTTCATCTGCTGTCAACTGTATTCCATATCAAAGAATACTACTAACTGACACAGCAGGTTTAATCATGAGAGAATTTGTTAAGTACACTTTATATGACCGTATCAGCACTAGACCTTTCTTGACCACCATTGAAAAAAAATGGATTACATTTCAAATTCTGTATGCCTTACATCAATGCCATAGAGTTGGTGTATGCCATGGTGATATAAAACTGGAAAACATAACTGTAACATCATGGAATTGGGTTTTGTTGGTTGATTTTGCTTCCTTTAAACCCACTTTTCTACCTGAGGATAACCCTTCAGACTACTCATATTTTTTTGATACATCTCGTAGAAGGACTTGCTATATAGCCCCAGAACGCTTCACTAGAACTACTCATGTTGCAGCAAGTGAACATAGTGCATTAATAACTGAAGCCACTTGTGATTCTGGCAGCTTGACACCAGCCATGGACATTTTTTCAGCTGGGTAAGCATTTCAACACAAGTAGAAAATAACAATAACCGGTTTCTTTATTTATTTTTAGCTGTGCTCTTTTGGAACTATGGAATGAACTACATGTTCCTTTTGAATACTCCCAGTTATTGGCATACAGAGAAGGTATTTATCTACCCCAAAAACATTTGGACAAATTGGAAGATCCCAATTTAAGAAACCTAATCTCAAGCATGATAGATAAAGATCCATCTAAAAGAAAAACAGCTGAGGATTATTTGGCACAAGAAAGAGGCAAATTATTCCCAGAATATTTCTACTCTTTTCTTCAATCCTATATGCTAATATTCTCCTCTTCCCCAATATTATCACCTGATGAAAAAATTATAAGACTCAAAAACGATATTGGAAACATTTTCAAGTTTCTTGGACCAGCAGTTTATGTTGAAGATGAAGATGAAAAAGGGAGCAGTGATGAATCAGAAAAAGGCGAATGTGAGGGACTAGTAATTATCACCTCACTAGTGACTTCTTGTATCAGAGGGTTATATGATTGTTCTTCTAAATTGCATAGCTTAGAAATATTGTTGGAATTGGCATCTCATGCTAGTGATGAGACCATTTTAGACAGAATACTGCCTTATATTGTAAGTTTTAAGTTTTAGCAAGATTTTGTTGAAATAATAAGTTGCCAGCGTGCTGGGTTTTGGACAAAAATCAATTATAAATTGTTTCCAGATGTATTTGGCATCCGTGGACAGCAATGCAATAGTAAAAATAAGTGCAATAAACACAATAACAAAATGTCTGAATCTCGTCAGAAAAGTCCCGCGATCTGACGCGAATATATTTCCTGAATATATTTTACCCAGTTTGGCACCCCTGGCCACAGATCCCAGCATTTCTGTCAGGGCTGCCTATGCTAGAAACATAGCCCCCTTAGCTGAAATAGCTTTAAGGTGAGTGTTTTTAAATTTTGTGCTATTTTATAAAAAAAAATATGTTTTAGATATTTGGAACAAGTTTTAAATGACTGGTATGATAATAATACCAAGCAGAACAAAGAAGGGCAAACTTTTAATTATGAACAAGAATTGCAAGCTTTGCATGAAATGGTACAACAATCTGTCTCTGCATTACTCACTGATACTCAAAGCATAGTAAAACAAACTTTATTGCACAGCGGTATCACTCGATTATGCGTATTTTTCGGCAAACAAAAAAGTAAGAACAAACATGATTTTCATTGTACTCACAAAGGACGTGTAAACATTTTAACTGTTTTTTTAAATTTATGCCACTGCGAATTTTTGCCAATATTTTTTTATTTATCCTACAGTTCGAATTTGTCAGAGCATTTTAAATTTGGGCTAAAACAAAAATTGTTATGTGCGATTTTAGTTTCATTAAATTTAAGGGCAGTTTTCAATTACTTATGCAATTTTGTTCAAATTTTGGCACACCATAATATAGGGCAAAATAAATTGACTAGATAAAAACTCTCCATTCCAGCAATATCAATTTATTTTATTATTATTTATTTATAAAAGTACATAAAAATACATTTTGTTAACTATTTAATTTATTATTATAAAATTTTAGTTTTGTGTGTTAATAACCTTTATTCTGTAAATATAAATTTAATTGGATAAGCACTAAAACACCTAAATAATTAGATTTATTACCCTGGGATCCTAATTATTAAGAATCAAAAGTATTTTACTGTTAATAAAAATTTTTTTTACTTAAAATAAATTATACTATATACAAGGTTATCAACACTGTGTTGACAACACACAAAACTTGTGTTATATACGTTTGTGTATACAAGCATACTATAGTGTATGTATATATATTTTATTTTTTTGTTTTGTTTGTTTTGTAATGTAATGGGTATTATCCGTCAATAAAGATTATTATTAAAATTTCATAAATATAAATGGGATAGTTTACAAAATAATGTAATCTTTAATCTACTTTTAAATCAGTATAAAGTCACCGCTAATAAAATCTGATCCAATTAAATTAAAATTTGCATTGAATTAAGATTATTAATTTATTACTCTTAAAATTTTATTATATGTTAAATACCTAAAGTTTATCTATATATTTTAACTTACTTTGATAAGATTTTAATTATTTAAAGCCTTAAAAAATAAGCGCCACAAAGCCAATTGAATTAAAATTGTACAGAATCAACACAATATCCCTGTTGTAAATGACCAATTAATTCCTGTAGAAACCAATTGAAGTATTGGTTGGTATTAATGGGTCTGAATTGGACTAAAATTATTTTTAAATGAAAAATAAACTGGTAGGTATTTTCTAATTCAAATTTTAAAAAAATGTATCATTCCATGTGCATTTCTATTGGATTTAGCCAATAGAGACAAGCATCGGCATGGATTGGTATTTCCCAATCCAAGCTGCTGACTTCATTGGAAATTACCAATAGGAATTCAACTGGAATGAATTGGTGATTCATAGCGCCAAATCACATTTCAAACCAATTCAAACCAATTACTTATTTTTTATTGGATTTTATTGGTCATTTACAATAGGGATGGTGTTAAAATTTCATAATGATATCCTTATTCGTTTTTTTTTTTTATGAATTTTTGCCACTTTTTTACCATTCTAGTCCACCGTGCTCTACAGGGGTTGCCGCTGCTTGCTGTGCTGAGTAATAATATAATATTTATTCCCAAAGGGCGAGCACGGTTCTTGAGTCTTAATCGTTCAGACTTTCCAGTACTTTCTTGTGTAGAATAGGGCTAAATCCGCATTTGTTTATTAGAAATGACAAATAGCACAATATTGTGTATATAATGAGAAGGTTATTACTCGTGGCATTTATGTATTATCTTATAAAATTTTCATTAATTTTGTTTGTTTTTAACAGTGCAATCGCACATTGTAAATAAACAAACGAGTTTTTACTAACCTTTTTTATAATGTGACTTGATATTAATAAGTATTTTATTTTAAATTACTTTCAACGTCAAAAATCGTAGGCTTATTTGGGATATTTCCACTCATAAGTTAAATTCCATCAATGATCCTCGATACACAACTTTTCTTTTAAAGGCGGTTACAGAGTTTTCGTTAAAGCATTTGTAAATTATAATTTAATAACATAAGGTGCGAACTTGGTATTTAATAATAAACAATATATGTTGCTTATTATACATCGAATCTGATATTTCGTGTATTTAAAAATTGTGGAAATGTAATAAAGGCTAATCACATTCTATTTGTTTGCTTCGAAACAATGACCATAATACACTTCCCGTCAAAATTAACGCATAAAAAGTAAAACAAATCCAACTCTAAAACGCCAATCTTTATAAAATTTTGGATAAAAATACTTATATCTCAGTTTACGTGTTCAAGGGTTCTTCAAGAAAATATCCAATAAAGCCCTTTTATTTCATAATTATAAACGCTCGAAAAAAACTTTTAGGTATATGAAATTTTTTTTAAAAGTAAATAAAAAAATATGCTGTGAAAGACCGTATTTTTGTAAGTATACCCTGAAAATGTTGTACAAATCGAACGAACAGTAACGAAAATACAGCGCTTCAAAGTCGTCAAAAATGACCACTTTTTAGCAAAATAATTAAAAAGGGGTCATTTTTACCGACTTTAAAGCGCTGTATCTTCGTTACTATTCGTTTGATTTGTACAAAATTTTCAGGGTATACTAACAAAAAGACGGTCTTTAACAGCATATTTTTTATTTACTTAAAAATAAAACTCCCTTAAAGTTATTTTTCGAACTTTTTTTTATTATTAAATAAAAGTGCTTTAAAAATATTTTCTCGAAAATACCTCGAACACTTAAACTGAGATATAAGTTTAAATTTTTTATACAAAATTTCATAAAGATTGGTATAGGCGTTTTAGAGTTATAATTTTTTTTACTTATTATGCGTTAATTTTGACGAGCAGTGTATTTGTCTTGGAAAAATTAGCAACTCTACTATTTAAATATTTCGTCAAATGGCGTCATTCTTGTTTGACCCTACTGGCAGACATTGTGGGTAGTTAACACACCAAAAATATGTACCTACAGAAAAAAATCCGTAGGTCCGTAGATCACATTTGAAATCCGTTAATCTACGAAACAGAAACACTGTCAACGCGTTACATCTTACGCGTGACGCTCAATATCCCCCGGCCGTAGCATAGATGTTTACACATCAATTATTTTATTAAAACTATCTTATAAAGTTGGCCCAATAGGGTTACAAAGAGAAAAACAAATATATTTTTAGATAATTTCATTCTTCATAAAAGATTTGCTTGATTTTAAACCCACAGAATATGCAACACATCATTTTTATTGTTTTTATTGGTTAATTTGAAATATTGATTTTTCTCAAACTTTTACTTTTCAATTTATCGCCGTTTTATGCTTTTTATATACTTTTTCCCGAATAAAATTAACATTCGTGAAGAATTCCTCAAAGATTTCTACCTACCGTGATAATAACATTGCTTGGAAGGAAAGTGAGAAATGAACGAAAAGTGACCATAAATTTTAGTAAAATCATAGAAATAAAAATGATGTGTCGCATATTCTGTGGTTTTGAAATCAAGCAAAAACTTTTATCATTAATGAAATAATAATAATAATGCTTTATTGAACTAAAACCAAGTTCAAAGGCTATTGACCGTAGTCCTTCAGCCGTCATTAATGAAATTTTCTGAGAAATGTAAAATAATTGTTTTCCTCTTTGCTATCTCATTCATGGACATACTGTATAATGTAATACTTTTAGCTAACGACGTACTGTTATCCCATGTTATAACATTCTTAAATGATAAGGAAGACAAAGAACTCAGAGAAGCGTTTTACGACTGCATAGTAGGCCTGGCTGCCTACTCAGGTTTTGCTTGCGTCACCGTCTTAACCCCACTTTTACTCCAAGTACGTATGACACATAAACCCTTCAACACTCTTTAATAAAAACCATGAAGTACCTACCAGGAGATAAAGCTCGGATAGAGGGGCAAGAAATAATGGCTACAAATCTGTCCGTTAAAATGCTGGACTGCCGTACCTAGTGCATTTGTGCGCACCTGCTAGTCCAGCATTCATTGCCTAATTCATTCGTAATTCTTAAAACGCCTGTTACATCAACTGCGGATGGATTTTATAGCCACCCCTTCGACCCAAATTTGATCTACAGGTTTCTGTACTTCATGATATAAACCATGCAATCTAAATCTTAACCACATCTTTCAGGGTTTAACTGACACATCGGAGTTGGTCATACGCAAAAGTATCAATGCCATGTCCGACCTGACGCGCATTGGTCTGATCAGCAAACACGCCCTCTGCGATTTGGTGTCGGAGTGCGCGTGCTACCTAGTGCACCCTAATCTATGGGTAAGACAGGCTACCGCAGGGTTTATATCGGCAGCTGCAAATGCGATGTCGTTTTTAGACGTTCAAGTTAAAATTATGAAACATATCAAGATGTACATGAAGCATCAGGCTATGCAAGTAGAGAAGTAATTATGAGGATTGTTATTCGAGGAGCATTTAATTTTTGTTTGAAATATTTTAGGCCAGAACTGGTTCTGGATTGTTTAGCAACTCCTATTCCACGATTGGTTTACGATAATATTATTCAGTATCAAGATATTGATTCGGTTTTTAAGTTAATGCATGATAATAGGAATTTTAGGGAATGTGTTAAATCCGGGAAAGTACCTATTTCTGATGTTAATAGGGAAAGTACACAAGCTTTAAAACAGGTATACAAACATAAGATTAAAAATTGGAGAGATACCATTTTTCGTTATTTTAGTTGTTTAGAAGATTGGAAGCAAATGGTTTGACAGAAGAAATGGGAGAGTACCTAATAAAAATGGAAAATCACTTGAAAAAAATACACAAATTAAAAAGCAACGCCGAAGCTCGTCAAAATAGGCAGAACGAGGGAAAAATCGAGTTATTCTCACCTAACACCACTGTGAAAGGTCACGTAATGTTCTTGGGAGAGACACCAAAGGCTGAATACTTACAAAACCGGTAATAAAAACATTCCCTTTTATTATATCCTTTTGTATATTTTTCTGTCTTAGTACTTTACATCGTACAAACACCGCTGTGTCTATGGAGACCAACATCAACTCGGATTGGAACTACAGTTCAGATGTTTTAAACCGCCAATCGGACGGCACTAATTCCGGAGGACCGCCTTCTAGATCGACATCGAGTAGACCGTCGTCGCCGCCTCCAGATGCGCATGCGCAGTTCGCCAGCGCCGATCCCTCCACCAATATAAGTTTGCACGAGAGATCCTACATACAGTGTGAGTAATAGTGCAATAATTATTTAGTATATGTGATGCCGAAAGGTAAAAGGGACCTACGGAAAGCGAGTGCTTTAAGAAATCAAATGTAGATGAGGTCTTAAGCGTCCTGAATCGATAAAATTCTGAAAAACAATATTTTCGACCATGATCAAGTGTTTCAGCTGGACACCTATTCTTGACTGCGAGAGAAAATATCCGCCGGAGTGCTCTCCCTGTAATAGAACCAACATTCACATCCCCGAAATTTTCTCTCGGTATGCCAAAGTCGTATTCTCGACGGATTACCGTGAGAAGCATGTTGCCATATTTATATACTTTAGTTGCCCAATCAAATGAAAGTAATTTCCCGCGTAACTTAAGTTGACTAATGTCACATTTGAAATGTGATTAATAACCTAGATGTAAATAGTTGTTTGTGGCAAATTCAAAGAGTTTTTGTGTATTACTAGTCAAAATCGAACGAAAAGTGTCTGTTAATCCAAGACAAAAAAAATTTTTACTAGACTTCTGCAGAATTGACAAAAAAAGAGGCATAGGCATTATGGCAGGAACTTGCTATAACATTAAATAGTTACAAGATCTATAAATTCCCTAGTTAAAGCCTTATTAGCTCTAAAATATCTCATAAATTTTATATTTCTGATAAAAAAATTGATTTTCCCGGTTTTCGAGAGAACTCCGCCCATTTCTATTACAAATTTCTACTCCTACAAACTCGAGAATAGGCGTCCTAAACGACAAGATGTACCTTTACCCTTTTCGCATTATATATTATGAAATCGTTAGCGCTTTTTGGGTACAATTATGTATGAAATACTCACCGCAGGCCTGTACATACAAAAATTCTTGCACTGAGTTAAAACTTGCTTTTGTTATATTGTTTTTGTTTAGATTTTACTGGGCCAAAGTGATTTACAAATATTTTACTAATTTAGATTTTTTTTATTTGGTTTATAGTTGTAAAACTTGGTTCTTACAAGTCAAAAAATATTGCAGATAGGAGATCTAGTTGCTATGTGGAGTTAGCAAACCTAAAAGGAAGACAGCAAGATCATTACTATGAAGCAATGAGGTAAATATAAAACAAATGTTTACTGATTTAAATAATCTAAATAATCCTGTATTTATAAATAGTTGTTTATGTGCTTAGACTAAGAAATAATTTTTTTGTGCTGAGCACAATTGTGCGATGCACAAAAAGTCACTTCTCAGCCAAGTGGCATACAACATTGTATCTTTAAGGTACAAGTTTATTTGTTAAACGAAATATAAAACGTACAATTACAATAATAATTATTTAAAGTAAAAAGTGAGGTTAGGTAGACAGTTATCGAATTTTTTGATTGGTCCATAATGATTTTTTACAGTCTAGGAGGTAAAAAACTTACTCTCAATTGGACGGCTTTCTGCAGAATGGGACCAACCCACACCATGATGAAACTGAGAAAAAAGCTATCAAAGATTTTAATAATTTTAAAATTACCTGTTTATTTTATGCCGATTTTGGACTTACGGAGGTTTAAGGGATATAATTTAATAATTTCATCAGGTGGATTTTGTGATGTTATGTGTAAGGGTGACGAAAAAAATGGGCTTTTGTTGGTTGGTTCCTTTCTGCAATTTATGAAAACTACTATCTAATGTATGTATGTATTTAAAGAAAAGCGACAATTATTTATTTCCAAACAAAATACAACTGATATTACTATTATAATGGTAATATGAATTAATTTTGATTCTATTTGAAATTCGTCCACATCATCTTCCAACCCCACCTCATCTTGTAAGCTACCAAAAAAATGCATCAAGACTTTATATTTTGCAGAAGCAGGAAATCTTTAAAGACTTTGGTAGTGGGTCTACCAGCCTGCTATTTTACAAAAAAGATCCAACCCACTTGCAGATATTCTACAGATTCTAATTCTGGATTAGTAATCCACACTATTATTGAATATTGGTTGGTTCAATGATTAATAGATTTCACTACACTTGCATTTTGGCTATGACCTATTTTGCAGATAAATTATACAATCTTAATTAGTTCATAGGCTAAATATCTCGATTTTTTTGGTTTTGTGGGTTGGTTCCTTTCTGCAGAAAGGCGTCCAATTGGTCTAAATTATTTTTACAGCCTGGGCAGTACTAAGAAACACCAAAGGTCTTGGACCCCCCATATAAAAATGTTTTAAATTGTAGTTTATTCTTTTTGCGTATCGCATACAAATGTGTATTTATTTGCAGAATAAAAACGACCATAAACATTCAAACATAAAAAAGTGTTAGGTTTTTATCGATGTTTAAAAGAAATTTGTCAGTTCGACTCAGTTTGCATGCATGTTTAAGAAGCCTCATTTCGTGTTTTTCTTGCTTTAAAATGCCAGGTCGTGAAATTTCTGCGTTTAACAGAGCAAGATTAATTGCTCTTTATGAAGCTGGATTTTCAAATCACGATATATCGGCTAGTTTAAATATTCCAAGAGCATCTGTTGTGCGAATCATCCATAGATACGAAGAAACTGGAACAGTGGAAGGAATGCCCCGTAGTGGGCGTCCTCGCATGTCTAATGAAAGGGAGGATAGATATCTGATTCAATTTACTCGCCGAAACCGAAATGCCACGGCCCCAGCCATCAGAGCACAGTTTCAAGGTACGTTTCATCGTCTAATTTCGACCTCTACAATTCGCCGAAGACTGCATAGTGCAAATTTACGAGCCAGGAGATGTTTGAGAGTACCTCTTCTATTGCCTCGACACCGTGTTGCCCGCCTCCAGTGGGCGAGAAACCATATGGATTGGCTTTTGGATCAATGGAGATAAGTCCTCTTTACTGACGAAACAAGATTTGGCCTGGTCAGTGATGACAATCGCCAAAGGGTTTGGAGGGAACCAGGACGTCAGCAGCGACTTAACTTTCCCCGTGAAGTCCCTCCCTACCAAGGGGGTACAATAATGTTTTGGGGGGCATAATATACAACCGTCGTATTCCATTAATACGCATACAGCAAAATTTGACGGGTCAAATTTATATTGAAAACATTATTAGACCAATTGTTTATCAGTTTCGAAATCAAATAGGGTTGAACTTCATCTTTATGGATGATAACGCCAGGCCACACCGAGCCAGAAGGGTTCAGGAGGCACATCAAGCTGAAGAAATTACCACATTAGAATGGCCAGCCAATTCGACAGACATGAATCCTATCGGGCACTTATGGGATTATGTTTCCAGGGCCATTCACAATCGAAACAACCCACCAGGAACTGCGGAAGAATTGGCTGCAGCCGCGGTAGAAGAGTGGAATCGCATACCTCAAGAGGTTATCAATAACTTGATAATTTCTATGCCCAGGCGTGTTGACGCACTAGTAAGAAGTAGAGGAGGACCCACAGACTATTAGTTAGCAGTAATTTTTATGTTTATTCTTAATGACGATTAATTTCTTAATCCATTTTATTTTTGAAATAAACCATTCTTAACATTTTGTTTATTTTTAAGTACCCTTGTACATTTATAATAATTATCTAAACCAAATTTAAATCTACACAAAAGACACTTCAAAACATATATTTTATTTTTTTCAAATATTATTTATTTATAATAAATCCGGGGGGGTCCAAGACTTTTGGTGTTGTGTGTAGTAGGCAAACTATATTAAGTGTTGACAATAATAAAGTTTAAATTATAGACTCCTTAATAATTTTTAAAGATGGTAATTTCCATGAGGATGAGCTTTCGGTTTGTGTCGCAATTCTTCCAAATGAAAATGGCCATTTCTCAAGAGTTAAACACTATACTTTTTCTAATTTTATTAAAGACTACAAAGAGTACAATTTTGTGTAATTAGTATACACACAGATTCTATAAATGACAAATGTCAGTGTCAATATAATATGTAAATATAAATTGTATCTATTTGATACAATAAATACACATTTTAGTAATGATTAACGTTAAAAGTGTAAACATTTCAATTCAGTAAAAATCGTCAAACAAATAAGACGTCTAAATTTAAACAGCATTTAGCAATATTAAAAGCGTTGATTAAGAAAGTCTCCACTCAATGGTCATCTATGGGTAAAATACCATTATATTATGTAAACTACTCAAAACGAATTAAGGACCACTTTTAATCAAAAACTTTTTTTTACATTCTACTCAAAACGAATTAAGGACCACTTTTAAACTTGTTTATAACTTTTAATCAAAAACTTTTTTTTACATTCTGTAACTGCTGTTAGTTCAGAAAAACATTAGGGTTTTAAATGGAGTATATATTTTATAAATCAAATAAAAAATAAACGCTTGGAAAATAAAACTTTAATTTTTCCCAAATGTTTTTTTTTTAAATAAACTATAAATAATATTTTCAACAAAATTAGTAATGTGTGTGTCCTCTGGCTAGCCGAACTTCTTCACATCGTCTAGGCATCGATTCCACTAAATTTCTGATTACTTCTCTGGAAATATTGCTCCATTCCTCTTGAAGCATTTCTCCAAGCTGTTCCAAATTTTCTGGTGCCGGACGATCCCTTATCCTTCTCTGAAGAACATCCCAGAGATGCTCAATAGTATTTAGATCCGGGGAGTTTGCGGGCCACTCTAAAACTTCGATATTATTCTCCTCAAGATATTGTGTGACAATACGAGCAGTGTGGGGCCTCGCATTGTCATGCTGTAGAATAAACTGTGGACCTTCTTCTGCGGCAAATGGGACTATATAGGGTTCTACAATATCTTCCAAATACCTATGAGCATTTACCACACCATCCCTACAGATATGCAAACCTGTACGCCCCGTTAAAGTTATACCTCCCCAGACCATAAGTGAGCCACCTCCAAAGTGAACAGTTTCTGTTACAGTTGAATCTAAATAACGCTCACCTCTACGCCTCCATGCTCGTACACGTGCATCGTTGTGGCTAAGTCAAAATCTAGACTCATCTGAAAAGAGCACGTGTCCCCACTGATCCATATCCCAATTGATATGATTTCGAGAAAAAGTTAATCGAGCTCTTCGGTGCGCACGGGTTAACTGGGGCCTAACAGCTCGGACTCTGGAACGTAGATGGGCTTCATGAAGTCTATTTCTAACTGTCTGAGTGGATATTCGCCTTTCGCTGGCGTCAAAATGTAAATCAGCAATGTTTCTTGCTGTTCTGGCTCGGTTTTGGGTGGCTAACCTTACCATATTACGGTCCTCACATGGGTTTGTGACTCGTTCTCTTGCCGGATAAGGTCTTCTAGTGATAAAACCAAATTCTCTATGTCTGTTAAGAAGTCTAGAAATTACCAAATGACTTGTTTGAAGTCTTCGGGCAATACTTCTAACCGAATGTCCTTCTTGAAATAAAGTAACCGCTGTCACTACTTCAACCTGATTTAAATGCCTCCTTTGATGAAGAGGCCTTCCTAAAGCATCAACATTCATTTTAATTAATTATTGAACTTATCACAATGCACAACAACGACTAAAATGACTTACAATAAATGTTAAAATGCACTGTTTTTTAAACAAATCGCATTTCTACAAAAAGTTATGAAAACAAAAAATGTTTGTTTACATAAAATAAATTATACATAATATGAGTACAAGCCTATACAAATATACAAGGGTTGCTTAAAAGTTAAAAAAGATACATGTATTTTAAAAAGTGGTCCTTAATTCGTTTATTATATATGGGGCAAAACACCTCAAGTGTTCCCACCTAAAAATGATGTTTTCTCCGATTTTAACAAAACTTTGCCAAATCATTGTCCTATTGGACTACCTTAATTTTCCAAATGGGGGGCAAAAAGGATTAGCGGGTTGCAGAGATACAGGGGCCTGAAAATGTATTTTTTTTCTCGTGCGCTTAAAAGACGTCGAAATATTCATGTATATAATAATTTTTTTTTTAATTGATAATCAACGTATCGTATAGCATTTTTTCCACGCTTTACGATAAAAATGGTCTCGAAAGTGAGAAAAAAATTTTAGGTTATAAAAAAACGACTTTAAAAATATATTTGTTTTTTTCTCGAAATGCGACACATTCGATTTTTTTAAAATTAATATCAAAAGAAAGCTTTT